TGCACTCCAGCATGGGTGACAGAGTGAGACCCTGTCTCAAAAAAAAAAAAAAAAAAAAAAAAGGCTTAATTAATTAACTGTTTTTCTTCCTAAGGGCTGGGATCATACCAGTTTCCTTCACTGCAGTGCCTGAACACAGTAGGCATAGTAGATTCAATAAATCTTTGGTTCATTGGCTGGGCGTTGCCTGCTGTGTGCTGATGAGAAAGGAGCCAGGCTTCCAGGATTCCCTTGGTGTTCTGGGTTTCCTGCTCTGTCCACCTCTCCCCTGCTTCTATGGTACCTTCCCAGGACTGTCTTTGGGCTGTTGCTTGCCTTGGCAGGGTCTCTTCTTCAGGGCTGAGGAGGCTGGCCATGGGATAATGAGACCCCTATACAATGCTGCATGGGAGCTGGAGTTGGATGGGGACCAGTGGATTATCCACGCAACTCTGCATCCCCCTCCATCTATTCATCCCTTGTTTTGTTTTTCTGGGGCAAGGAATAGAGCAAGGACTGGGATGGGTGAGCTATGAACAGAGGGTCTCAGCTGAAAAGTGGAAGATGTTTTATTCCATGCCTGGACATCTCTCATTCCCTCTGCTTACTTTTTGCTGCTGTGAGGCCAGGGGAATTTAGGAGTCCCGAGGAATGCTGCTGCTCTCCCTAGCAGTGTGAGGTGACCCTCCACTGGCCCCCATCTAACCCCAGCTCCAGTGTTGGAGGCAACCACAGAAGAGGGGAGAGAAGTGGACAGAGCAGAAAGCCAAGAACACCAAGAGGATCCTGGAAGCCTGGCTCCTTCCTCATCACCACACAGCAGGCAAGACACAGTAAGCAACAGATAACCACCGACCAGCCAATGAACTCAAGATTTCTTGAATCTACTACGCCTAGAATGTTCAGGTGCTGCAGTAAGGGACACTGGTATGATCCCAGCCTGTGGGAAGAAAAGCAATCGATTGAGCAATTACTGTGCAGTGTGATGAGCACTGCCCCAGCTGGAAGAGGGGCACCATGGGGCATGTGCAGGAAGCGAATGGCCTAGAGGAGGGGGTAGGAGGCTCCCAGAGAAAAGGAAATCTAGGTCAAGAAAAGAAGGCTGGCGGGTAAAGGAGCCTCCAGGGAGGCAGGGATCATTCTGGGCATAGGACTGCCATGTGCAAAGGCCTGCAGCTAAGGCAGTATCCAATGTGCAGGAATGAGCTGGCCACAGAGGAGTGGAGGTGGCATGAGATGGGCAGAGAGGGGCCAGGGCCAGGTGGCAGAAGGCCCCATGGCCCACATTAGGGAGTCTGAACTCTACCAGAGGGCCATGGGCCAACTGGAGGATTTCAGCAAGAGAGCTGCCTCCCCTGTGGAGGCCAGGATGGAGGAAGTGGAGTTAAGGCAGGGTGAGGATCAGCTTCTCCACAGACGAGTAGAGAAGTGGTGGCAGCCTGCGCCACAGAGATGGCAGTGCCAACGGCCACAAGAGCACAGTCAAGCTGACAGGATTGGTGTTCGGTTAGAGAGGGAAGGGAGCGGGGCAGCTCAGCGACGCCCTCAGGTCCTGGCTAGGGCAGCGGAATGACTAGTGTGGGGCGCAGCAGAGAAGCTGCGGGAGAACGGATGAGGAGGCCCTTTCTGGACATGCTGAGTGTGAGAAGCCCGCTGGACACCTGGGTGGGATGGCCAGTGAGGAGGCAGCTGGTCATGTGGTCTCACTTACAGACACATGTGGAGGTCAGCAAATCACAGATGGTCCTCTGAGCCATGGACACAGACGACAGAGCTCAAGGAGAGGGTACCGACTAAGAAGACGGGCCCAAGAAAGCCAACCTACAAAGCAAGGAACTGACAGCCAACCAGATCCCCTAAGTAATCTGCTAACCAAGGAACTAAATAGCTAACAACTCACTAACGCTTGTTTATTTTCTTTTTCTTTCCTTTTTTGAGACAGGGTCTCACTCTGTCGCCCAGGCTGGAGTGCAGTGGCACAGTCCCAGCTCACTGCAGCCTAGACTTCCCAGGGTTCAAGCGATCCTGCCACCTCAGCCTCCCAAGTAGCGGGGACTACAGGAGCACGCACCATGCCCGGCTATTTTTTTTCTATTTTTTGTAGAGATGGGGTTTTGCCATGTTGCCCAAGCTGGTCCCAAACTCCTGGACTCAAGCAATCCTCCCGCCTCAGCCTCCCAAGGTGCTGGGAATTCAGGTGTGAGCCACCACGCCCGGTGGCTTACTAACCCTTTGACTAATCTATCAAAAACCAACTAACTGATTCTCCTGTTAACCAGCTATTAACTCATTTAATTATCGAATCAACCAGTCAACCATAACCTATCCAACTAACCACAAGCCAACAATTCAACCTGCTAACCAACATTTCTTCATTCAACAAACATTTGTTGTCCAGGCATGGTGGCTCACGCCTATAATCCCAACACTTTTGGGAGGCCGAGGCAGGTGGATCACTTGAGGTCAGGAGTTCAAGACTAGCCTGGCCAACATGGCAAAACCCCATTTCCACTAAAAATAAAAAATAAAAAAATAGCTGGGCTTGGTGGCAGGTGCCTGTAATCCCAGCTAGGGGGCTGAGACGTGAGAATCACTTGAACCCAAGAAGCAGAAGTTGCAGTGAGCCGAGATCACACCGCTGCACTCCAGCCTGGGCAACAGAGCAAGACTCTGTCTCAAAAAAGAAAAAAAAAATTTTTTTTGTTGAGCACCTACTTACGAGTCAAGCACCAGGAATACAAAGTTAAAACCCACTCTCCACCCTTGGGTCACTCTGTTTAATGGAAGAGATGGGTAATGGCAACACCAGCAGAGAGAAGCAGCCTGGGACTCGGGGAGCTCAGGGGAGGCGTGGGAGGTGGGGCCTGAAGGAGGTTTTGAAGAATGGGCGGGTGGTGGCCTGACATGGCCGTGGGGGAGTAGGCTGGTGGTAGAAAGAATGGTGGAAGCTGTGCACATTCTAGATATTTTAGGAGATTGGTGACTGGATATGAGACATAGGGGAGAGGGAAGTATCAAGGATATGACCTGGACTTCTGGCTTGAGCAACTGAGGAGAAGGGGGCCCCTGACTGAGCCCAGAGCACAGGAGGAGTGAACTTGCAGGGGGCGGAGGAGGCCGTTTCCATCTAGGAGCTGAGTTGCCTGTGAGACACCAGTGGGTCTCTAGAAACAGGATCTAAAGCCCTGGAGAGAGACATAGGCTGGAGGCAGTGATGTCAACAGAGGGGCATTATTCGTTCTCTCCTTCCAAGTGTACAACAGCCCAATATCCCTGCTCATGTGGAGCTGACAGCAATGAAGTGTAACAAGCAAGTACATTTGTATAAGAGAAGGTACCAGCTCGTATGGAAAAAACAGAGCAAGGAGAGGGGAATTGGGATTGCAGGGGCTGGAAATGGGATGTGATTTCAAATAGGGCAGTCAGAGTAATCCTTGTTGAGAAGGTGGCGTTGGAGCAAAGCTATGAAGGAGATGAGAGTGGGCTGTATGTTAACTGCAGAAAGCCCCTCAGGTGGAGGGAACAGTCATCAGAGGACTCCCAGGATATTTGAAGAAAGCAAAGAAAGTCAGTGTGAGGCCGGGTGCAGTGGCTCACGCCTGTAATTCCAACCTTTTGGGAGACCAAGGCAGGTGGATCACCTGAGGTCAGGAGTTCAAGAGCAGCCTGGCCAACATGGCAAAACCCCATTTCTACTAAAAATACAAAAAAAAAAAAAATTAGCTGGACGTGGTAGTATGTGTCTATAATCCTGTAATCCCAGCTCCTCAGAAGGCTGAGGCAAGATAATCGCTTGAACCCGGGACGCGGAGGTTGCAGTAAGCCAAGATCGCGCCATTGCACTCCAGCCTGGGGGACAGAGTTGGATTCTGTCTCAAAAAAAAAAAAAAAAAAACAGAAAAGAAACTCGGTGTGGCTCAGTGTGGCTGGAGGAGGGAAAGCAGGGGGCTGGAGTGGGGAGGCCAGAAAGCTAACAAGGACTACATAGGCAGGGCCTTGGCCATTGCAAGGACTGGTTCTTGTTCACCCCAAAGACAACGGAGCCTGAGAGGGTGAGAGGTGCTGAGTTCGGTTGAGTTGAAGGCCACCTGCATGCCTTGACCCTCATCCAAGGCTTTCTGAGCCTCCCCTCACCCTAGGACCCAGCCCAGGCAACAGGTGTAAGATGCTCTTCTTCTGGGACCTCAGAGGCGAGTGGGTGGGTGGGGAGGAGGAGGTAGAGGGGGGACAGCTACCCCAAGGAAGAGGCTGAGGGTGGAGCAGGAAGGGCACTGAAGTGGGCTGGGTGGAGGACAGGGGGCTAGAGGGGGAGAAGGGGGTTGGGTACTTACCGCCTGTGCCTGGATGTTTGAACCATGTTTTGTCTTTCAGATTTGTAGATGCTGAGGAGCCAAAGAGAGGTCACCATGGCTGGAGCACACAGAACTTGGCCCCACACTTCTATCAGACCTTGGCCCCCAGGGGAGAAGCCCTGGGGCAGCTCCTACTAGTGCCACTCCCTTAACCCAGCAAAGCAACAGGGAGGGAGGAGCAGTGCTCAGCCAATGAGGCGACGCCCTGGAGCCCCACCCACCCATGCTGGCCCCAGGACCCCAACCCCAGGCCAGACCCTCCAGCGCTCCTCCAGACCTTCCCTGTCTGCAGCCCGGCTTTGGACTGTGGAGATGCCCTCAGCCTCTGCTCAGTGGCTCCAGCATCGTATTTGCGTGCTATACATTTAACCTCAAGCCCACTTGCTGCTAACTTAAACTGTGACTGTCCAGGACCTGCACACACACACACATGCACACACGCGCGCACACACACACACACACACACGCACGCAGAAGGTGAACACACAGGATGAGGCTCTGAAAACTCATTTCACCCTGTACCTTGCCTAAAAATTCCCCTTTGTACTCCTCTCTTTCTCTCTAATTGACAGCATGAAGGTAGCCCCAAGTCCCTTCACCCTGTCTGTCCTCCTCATTCTCTAACTCAGTTCCCTCTAGCTGCAGCACAGACTCTAATCCCCAGCCCTGACTGCAGAAACCCTCCAGCCCCAGCTCTAGCCCCGCAGGAGGGGACTCCGCGGGAGGAACAACTGCAGCAAGCCGGCAGCGGACCCATCTCTGGCCTGCACTCCTCCCCCTGTGGTCCACGGCCGGTGGTCTTCAGCTCTCTCCTCGTCCCACTCCCATGGTCTGCTGACAGCCCAGCCCAGCACATCCCTGCCATCTCTGCTCTACCGCTGGTCCTCCCAACAACCAGTATACAGGTAAGGAAACTGAGGCTCAGAGAGAGCGTGTGTGTGCCTGTGTCACACAGCAACACAGGACTGCACCAGAGCCAGAAAGCCAGGCCTTCCACTCCCAGCCGGCGCTCCTTCCCCAAACAATCCCACAGTCACCTCCTCCCTGTGTGGTACCAAGGGAATGGCCCTTCCGGATCTGGGCACTGAGGAGGCCGCCCCATCCACCCTGCCTGGAGCCCCACTCACTCTGCTGAAATGCCTTCTGATTCTCAGCCTCTGCCTTGGGGGCTTCTCAGTTAAAGTGCATCTTGATCTTGTTCCTCCGAGACGGTCCCTGGCTCAGCTTCCACTCCCAGCTGGGGCTCGGCTATCCCTGTGTCCCCAGTCCAGAGCCTGCCTCTCAGCCCTCCCAGGGCGGCCTCAAGCACTGCTCCTGCTCCTCTAGGGGAGAGGTCAGTAAGGCTGGGGTTTGGCTGGTGCCACTTGAGCCAAGTCCGGATGCACTGCCCAAAATAACATCCCTCGTCTGGCCAGCGGTGCCGTGGAGACCGAGTTCTGAAGCAGCCCTTTGTGAGGTCAGAGGTGCAGATCCGGGTGGGCACTCTGGGCCTCACAGTCCCAGAGGAAAGGCCTGTCCTCCAAGCCAATGTGCAGCCTGACTCTGGGGCAGCGCCTGAGGAAGCCCTCCCCAAGCCCCAGCCCTGGGGAAGGCTGCAGAGGCCTTTGAGCCCCCAGAGTTGGGGAGAGCTGTGCAGAATAGGACTGGAGGTGGAAGTGTTGGAGATCAACAGCCAGGTGGAGGGGACGCGGGCAGGCCGTGGATCAGTCCTCAGGGAGCCCCATTCTGAAGGGGGAAAGGGAGACTCAGGCCCAGTCCTCAGGGCCCCCAGTCTGAGAGGAAGGAGGACACACAAGCCATATTTGCAGAGAAACACGAGCCTGAGGGAGGAGGTAGAAGCCCAGGCCTGGCCCCTCTGAGGGCCCCTAGTCCGAGGAGCAGGTGGAAACCTAGACCCTGTCCTCAGGAAAACACCTCCCTTAGGAAAGGTCAGCAGGGCCCCTGTGAAGGAGCCAGAGCTGGATCGGGGTGTGGGGTTCGGGGCTCAGCAGCATGGGAGCTCCGGGACCGAGGTGCGGTCAGGAGAGACCCTGGGGACCAGTGGCAGTCCAAGAGGACTTTTGGAGCCAGGGCCTGACTAGGTCTCAAACAACGGGGCAGGCAGTTCGGGGTTTCAGCAGGTGGCCCAGTGCTGAGACACGAGGGAGGTGTTTCTGGTCTGCAGACTCTGAGGACACTTGCTGTGTGGCATGGTGGATGGTGGGTAAGTCCTGAGAACTTCTGGGGCCAGGCTCCATGGGTGGCAAAAGGCATAGGATTCAGTTGTCCAAAGCCCAGGTGTGGGAATGGAACTGTCCTGTAGAGGGTGCCAAAGACCAGGTCTGGAACCTGCATAGCCCCCACACACCCTCCCACCCCTTCCAGCTTTTTCTGCAGGTCCTTCTGCAGGGGTGAGGCGGGGAGAGGAAGGGGTTGGCCGCAGTCCCGGGGCTTCCTAGTCAGAAGCCCTCTGTAAGGCACTAACTTCCCTCTGCAGATTTTTTTTTTTTTTTTTTGAGATGGAGTCCCGCTCCACCCAGGCTGGAGTGCAGTGGCACGATCTTGTCTCACCACAATCTCTGCCTCATGGGTTCAAGTGATTCTCCTGCCTCAGCCTCCCAAGTAGTTGGGATTACAGGTGTGCGCCACCAAGCCTAGCTAATGTTTTTTGTGTTTTTAGTAAAGACGGGGTGTCACCATGTTGGTCAGGCTGGTCTCAAACTCCTGACCTCAGGGAATCCATCCGTCTCGGCCTCCCAAAGTGCTAGGATTATAGGTGTGAGCCACTGCACCCAGCCTCCCTCTGCAGATTGTACGTGGGCTTGAGACTCAGTCTCTCTTCCTCAGGAAGGGAGGGGTGCACGCCTGGAAATGGGAGAGCCCTGCCTTTATTCCTTTCCCATGTGTGCTCCCACGGCCGGGATGAGGTCATGTCAGAAGTGGATCTGGGGTCTTGGATGAGGTCAGCACTTTAGAGTTGAACTGGACTGGTGTCAGGTTGGTGAGGGAGGGAATTGGGATCCATGCTGGGGTCGCAGATCAGACCCTAAGCTCATTTACAGGACTTGACCCTGGGGACTGAGAGGTGGAGAAGACACAGTCCTGTCTGTCTAATAGCAGAGACAGGTGAGCAGCAGGTGACTTAGGACACACCAGATAAGCTGGAAGGAATACAGACAGGGCTAGCCCAAGCTCGAGGGGGACAAGGGTCTTCCAGAAGAGGTGACATGGGAACTGAGTTTTCCAAAACGAGCAGGGGGAGGAAGGACACCGTGGCATTTGAAGCTTGATGGGATTGTGAGAAAACCTGGGAGCTGTGAGTGACTTGCAGAGGGCTGTGGAAATGGGCAGGGGTAGACCATGAAGGGCTTTGTCGGCCAGGCCCAGGAGTTCAGACTTTAACCCAAGGGCCTGAGGAGCCTTCAAAGGGTTCTTAATAAAGAGAAGAGCAATGGGGTCAACCTGAGGTCCCCGAGGTCCCAGGGCATCCAGCAGGCAGAGGCACAGTTGGGCCTGCGCTCGGGAGAGGGGTCTAGCTGGAGAAAGAGAAGAGGAGATCAGCCCCTGGGCTTCAGCACTAGAGTCGCTGGGGCTACCCAAGAAGCACAGGGAGTGAGGCAGGGGCCAGAGTCAGGATTCTGGGGAACAGGGATGATGAACGAGTGGGTGGGGAAGGAGCTGAAAACCCAGACACAGGGCTGCCCAGAGACTGACAGGAGCCAGTAGGGGGCTGTTGCCCCAGAGTTGGGTGCTGGGAGGGGCTCGCCAGGCAGGTGTTTGCATACAGCTGCCTGGATGAGCTGGTGGGGATAGAGGGTGGCAACAGCGCTGAAGAAGCTGAGGCTGAGGAGGCAGAAAGTTCAACTGCAGCGAGAAGAGTGGCAGCTAAAGGGGCCACCAAGGTGGGAGCTTGGGTCAGAGCTGTGAAGCATGTTAGTCTGCACAGAGCTTGCGGGGGGTCTCTGAGCCAGTGAAGATGGGGGTGGGGCAGAGAGGGAACACCTGGGGTCCTTTCTTCATAGGATGGGCTTCAGTAGAGTTAGCAGATAAAATATAAGATGCCCAGTTAAATTTGAATTTCAAAGAAACAATATTTGACACAACCTTATACCCGGTATACCTTTAGTCTAACCTCAGGCCCTCTTGATGCTTAAACTGTGACTGTCCAGGACACACACACACACGGTTTTATTTTTAGCAAATAAAAATATAGCCGGGCACATTGGCTCACTCTTGTAATCCTAACACTTTGGGAGGCTGAGGTTGGTGGATCACTCGAAGTCAGGAGTTTGAGAACAGCCTGGCCAACATGGTGAAACCCCACCTCTACTAAAAATACAGCAATTAGCCACGTGTGTGTATGGTGGCAGGCACCTGCAATCCCAGCTACGGGGGAGGCTGAGGTGAAGTTGGAGTTGGAGGTTGCAGTGAGCCGAGATCACAGCACTGCACTCCAGCCTGGGTGACAGAGTGAGACTCTGTCTCAAAATAAATAAATACATATAAGAATAAAAGAAAATACTTTTTGCTTTTTTCTTTTTCTTTCTTTCTTTCTTTTTTTTTTTTTTTTTTGAGATGGAGTTTCGCTGTTGTCACTGGAGTGCTAGAATGCGGTGGCGCCATCTCAGCTCACTGCAACCTCCGCCTCCTGGGGTTCAAGTAATTCTCTTGCCTCAGCCTCCCGAGTAGCTGGGATTACAGGCATGCACCACTATGCCCAGCTAATTTTTATATTTTTAGTAGAGATGGGGTTTCACCATGTTGGCCAGGCTGGTCTCAAACTTCTGACTTCAGGTGATCCACCCGCCTCGGCCTCCCAAAGTGCTGGGATTACAGGCGTGAGCCACTGCGCCCTGCCTAAAATACTTTTTTCATTCAAACGTTGGTCAAGAATATCTTTCTGTGCCAGTGGGTCCATGTCCACCTCATGCCTGTTGTACAGCATTCCACGTGATGGAGATTATATCATGCGGAATCCTTCTATTGATGGGTGTTTAGATTGTCTCCAATTTTAAACGGACCCAGCTCTTCTCTTTTATGAACAGGATGGGATAAACACAATTGGCTGAAACTCAATAAAGAATGAAAATGAAAATTGAAATTTTAAAATATCAGAATGAAGAAACAAAAATGACTAAAGATGCTAAAAACTGCCCTCAAATGTTCCCCAAAATGTTGATATACACACACAAAAGAAACATTTTGATTAAATTATTTGTTTCAATCAACATGCCATTGGATTAACTTATCACAAAACCTGCTTTTCATCACATTGTTTTACACTTGTGTTTTTTCTGACTCTTTGGAGCCACGGAATCCTTTGCATAACTCAGGAGCCCATGGTATAAACAAGTAAGGAAGGAGCTACTCTGGCTCCAGGCGCAGGGGTGGGGGTAGGAGGGCAGGGTAGGTCCCTCAAGGAGCCCTGGTCTCTCTCAAATCATCTGAAGCCATGAACGTTCTCAGAATGTCCCAAAAAGAAAAGACACTTAAGCCCCACCCAGGTAAGTGTCTCCTTCCAAACTCATTTTTCGGGTAGGAAAATAGATTCAGAGCAAGGTAACAACTTGCCCAAGATCACCTAGAACTAGAACATCCAGACCAGGGCTCTGGCTCCCCTACTAGGTGGCGAGGCCGGGGAGGGGCAAGGGCACAGGTAGGACCCAGGAAGGTCTTTAACTCTCACACCCACAAATTACCAGAACTCCCCTCACCCCCCGCCCAGGCTCTCATCCTTCTCAGAGTCATCCACCGGCTTTCAGGACAGGGCAGATGGAGACCAAGGCAGACAGGATCAGGCACAGCCGCTTGTGCAAGGGCGAAGATCCCCTGAAGTCGAGAACCCAGAATTCCACCCTCAGCCTACTCCGTCCTAAAAGAGCCTATATTCAGCTGCCTGAAACCAGGGATTGAGCTCAGGCTTGTCACTTTCTAGTATGAGCTGGAGCTATCAGGGAAGGCTTCCTGAAGGAAGAGGGGTCTTATTAACGGAAGCAGCCAGGGAGACAACACTGAAGAAATTTGCATGTGTGAGAAGCATTTGTGTCTTTGTATATACCTATATGTGAGCATGTGCCTGTGTGGATGGACAGGTGTGTGGGTGTGTGTGTGTGTGCGCACACATGCATCTGCTTATGTGTGTCTGATCTTGCACGCGGAAGCCTCTCTGTAGTGAGACACACACACACACACACACTCCCCGAGTTACACACACGTGAACATGCAACCATTCTGCCGGGTTAATATTTGTTTGCCTGCGTCAGCACGGTCCCAGTAAGTGGGCAGCTCGATGCAGGAACGTGCCCTATCTGATCTGGTCAGTGGCTGTGGGTCCGGAACGGGGGGATTAGGGTGGGCAGGGAGCCCATCTCAGTTTCCCCCAGGCAAGCTGCACTCTCTCCACTCTCCTGCTCAGCCAGAGAAAGGAGGCAGCCCCAGTGTAGTGTGACTGCCCAGTCTCCCCACTCACGCTGGGGACTCCCTGATGGGACAGCCTCCTTGCTTGCCTCCACATGGGCCAAGGCCAGCCATTCCCTGAAAGACCCTCCCCACTCCCTCATCTCTGCCCAAATCCTGAGGCCTCTCTATGCATAGTTGTCTCCTTAAGGACAAACAGGAAGCAAAGACCCTAGGAAATGCTCACAGCGAGCCCCTCCCTTCAGCAGGAAAGCAGCTTTGCAATGTCCAGGTGAGCCAATGGGAAGATGGGATTCAATTGGCAGCTTTCCAGGAGCACAGTGATTGCACCAAGGGCCTGTGCAGAGATCTGTGTGGTCAGGGTCTGGGGTACCGGCACCCATGGGCATTAAGCTTCAGCCAGGAAGGCTTGGTGGGACATGTGGACCCCAGGGAGAGTGGCACCTCCCTAGTTGCTGGGCCTCTCCCTGGGTTGATGGAGAACCCTCCCACGCCTGCTCTGGTCCCTGGGGTGCAGGCTGGGCCAGGCTGGGCTGGGTGAGCAGACACTGTCTCTTCTGCTTTTGGGACAGCCCAAGGGCTAGCGTGAGTCAAACCCAGGTGTCCTGGCTCCTAGAGAGAAGGCTGGAGCATGGATGGAGGGAGACGCTCACTGCTGAGGCTGTTCCCACAGCATAGCCCCTCTGCCTCCACCTCCCTCAGGCTCCATCTCTGGGCGGTCTCCTCTCCACCCTAGGGGCATATTAGGACTTTCATAGGCCCTCAGCAGTTTTTTTTCTAGAGACAGGGTCTCACTCTGTCACCCAGGCTGGAGTGCAGTGGTGCGAACTTGGCTCAGTGCAGCCTCAAACTCTGGGCTTGGGCAGTCCTCTCACATCAGCTTCCTCTTACTAAGTAGCTGGGACTACAGGCGCACACGACGATGCCAAACCATTTTTTGTATTATTTTTGTAGAGATGAGGTCTCACTTTGTTGCCTAGGCTATTCTCAAACTCCTGGGCTCAAGCCATCCTTTCACCTTGACTTCCTAGAGTGCTGGGATTACAGATGTGAGCCACCACACCCAGCCTGGCATCTGTGTGGGTGTGTATGTGTGTGGTAAAAAATACAGCATAAACTTAGTGATCTGAACTATTTTTTTGGCGGGGGGGGGCTGGTCTTTTTTTTTTTTTTTTTTTGAGTCTTGCCCTGTTGTCTAGGCTGGAGTGCAGTGGTTCGATCTCGGCTCACTACAACCTCCACCTTCCAGGTTCAGGCGATTCTCCTGCCTCAGCTTCCCGAGTAGCTGGGACTACAGGCGTGCCCCACTACGCCCGGCTCATTTTTGTATTTTTAGTGGAGACAGGGCTTCACAATGTTGGTCAGGCTGGTCTCAAACTCCTGACCTCGTGATCCGCCTGCCTCAGCCTCCCAGAGTGCTGGGATTACAGGCATGAGCCACCGTGCCTGGCCCAGTCTTAACTAATTTTTAGCGTAGAGTTCAATAGCGGAAAGTATATTCACATTGTCGTACAATCTCCAGAACTTTGTCATCTTACAAAACAAACTCTATACCCATTAAACAACAACTCAATTCCCTTTCTCCTACTCCTGGTGACCACCATTCTACTTTCTGTCTCTATGAGTTTGACTACTCTAGATACTTTATGTGAGTGAAACCATACACTGTGTGTCTATCTGTGCCTGGCTTAGTTCACTTAGCATAATGTTCTCAAAGCTCCCTCCATGTAATGTGTCAGAATTTCCTTCCTTTTTTTTTTTTTTAGATGGAGCTTTGCTCTTGTCACCCAGGCTGGAGTGCAATGGCACAATCTTGGCTCACTGAAACCTCCGCCTCCTGGGTTCAGGTGATTCACCTGCCTCAGTCTCCCAAGTAGCTGCGATTACAGGTGCCCACCCCACGCCCAGCTAATTTCCTTCTTTTTAAGGCTGAACAATATTCCATTGTATGAATGTAACACATTTTGTTTATCCATTCAGCTCCCTGCACTTGAGTTGCTCCCTCTTTTGGCTATTGTGAATAGTGCTGATATGAACATGGGTGTACAGTTATCTTTTTGAGATCCTGTTTTCAATTATTTTTTTTAAATTTTAGGTTTGGAGGCACACATGAAGGTCTGATGTGTAGTAAACACATGTCATGGGGATTTGTTGTACAGATTATTACATCACCCAGGTATTAAGCCCAGTACCCAATAGTTATCTTTTCTGCTCCTCTCCCTCCTCCCACCCTCAAGAAGACCCCAATGTCTGTAGTTTCCTACTTTGTGTTCACAAGTTCTTATCATTTAGCTCTCAATGCTTTCCATTCTTTTGGATATATGTGCCCTTGGCATTTTTGCCCTTTTGGGCCCCTTCTTCCAGCAAATAATAATAACAGTAATAATTAATTCTATTTTACAACTATTGGTATAAAGACAAATATATTAATTTTTTTTTTTTTTTTTAAGACAGGGTTTCACTCCCGTCACCCAGACTGGAGTACAATGGCACGATCTCAGCTTACTGCAACCTCCGCTTCCTGGGCTCAAGCGATTCTCCTGCCTCAGCCTCCCAAGTAGCTGGGATTACAGGCACCCACCACCACATCTGGCTAATTTTCATATTTTTTGTAAAGATGGAGTTTCTCCATGTTGCCCAGGCTAGTCTCAAACTCCTGAGCTCAAGCAATCCACCCGCCTTGGCCTCCCAAATAACTGGAATTACAGGTGTGAGCCACCATGCCGGCCCCGATATATTAATATTAAAACATTTTCTTCAGCCTACAAGTTCTTCTTTTTCTTATTTTGATGCAAACTAAACATTTTGTGGGTTCTTAGATTCAACATTCTCATGGGTCTTGCACCTCCTGTGCATCATGGAGAAGGCGGCCCTGCATGTCTCTCACATCCTCTTCCCCCACGCAAATGCTGCCACCTCCCCAGCCTCCATCTCCAGCCCAGAGCTCCAGAACAAGTGATCCACCTCCTCTCTTGTTATCTCGTATGTGAAACAAGCACATTTACCTTTACCTGCCCCAACCCAACCTCACTTCCCCATCATCTGCCCCCTTCCCAAGGGCCTGGCCCAAGGAATGCTCTTCCCCACCACATCTCTGAAGCTTTCCCTCCAGGAGTCACTCACCTATTCCCTCTCTCGTGGCCCCTTCAGTCAGCCCCAAATCTATCCCATCTCCAAGAGCCTCTTCGCGGGTCTCCCAGTCTGCATCCCCTTTGAGGTAGGAGGCAGGACTGGACTCCAGAGTGATGCTCGGACACCGGACCAGATTGAGGACTAGCTAAAACAGGGCTGGAAGCAACTTTCCAATGACACATGCCCCCCAAAGTGCCATGTCAATTTATCATTGCCATGCCAACACCTGGGAGTTATCACCCCTTTCCATGGCAATGACCCAATGGCCCCAAAGTTACCACCCCTTCCCTAGAAATTTCTGCATAATTCGCCCCTTAATCTGCATACAATTAAAAGTGGGTATAAATATAACTGCAAAACTGCCCCGGGCTGCTGCTCTCTGCCTATGTATAGCCCTGCTGTGCAGAAGCAGTCCTGGAGCTCTAACACTGCCGCTTCAGTAAAGCTGTTTTCTTCTACTTCTCTCTGCATTGCCCTTGAGAGGCAAAGCTGAGAACCCTCACAGGCCAAGCCCCACTTTGGGGCTCACCTCCCCTGCATCACCCTCACCCATTCTCCATTTTACAGCAATTTTTTTTTTCCTTTTTGAGACAGAGTCTTGCTCTGTTACCCAGGCTGGAGTGCAATGGAGCAATCTCCGCTCACTGCAACCTCTGCCTCCCGGGTTCAAGAGATTCTTGTGCCTCAGCCTCCCAAGTAGCTGGAATTACAGGCACCCACCACCAGACCTGGCAAATTTTTGTATTTTTGGTAGAGATGGGGTTTCACCGTGTTGGTCAGGCTGGTCTCAAACTGCCTGTTTTATTTTCTTTTATTTTTATTTTTCTGAAATATGTTAAATTCCAGCTACTCTGTCATTTCATTTCTACATTCTTCAGTGTTCCCTCTAAAATACAGGAACATTTTCTTAAATAATCAGTACCATACCTGACAAAATATACAATTCCATAGAATGATCAAATACTTGCAATTGTTTCAAAATGTCTTTTTGCGTTGATTTGTTGGTTGTTTGCATCAGAATCCAAACAAGGTCATACATTACGCTGGGTTAAATGTTCTCTTAAACAAGAGGAATTCCCCTTTCTCCGTCATTATTTTTGCATGTCATTGACTTGTTGAATAAATGTGGTCCTATAAGAGTCCCACATTCTAGATTTGTCTGTGTTTTTTCTTTGTAGTGTCATTTAGCTTTTCCTTCATCCCCTGTATTTCTTTGAGTAAGTGGCTGGGCACAGTGACCCACGCCTGTATTTCCAGCACTTTGGGAGACCAAGGCAGGTGGATCGTTAGAGCCCAGGAGTTCAGTGCCAGCCTGGGCAACATGGAGAATCCCAGTCTCTACAAAAAATACAAAAATTGCCAGGCACGTTGACTCACGCCTGTAATTCCAGCACTTTGGAAGGCCGAGGCGGGTGGATCATGAGGTCAGGAGGTCGAGACCATCCTAGTTAACACGGTGAAACCCCATCTCTACTAAAAATACAAAAAATTAGCCAGACGTGGTGGTGGGCACCTGTAGTCCCAGCTACTCTGGAGGCTGAGGCAGGAGAATGGCTCCCAGCTACTCCGGGAGGTGGAGCTTGTAGTGAGCTGAGATCATGCCACTGCACTCCAGCTTGGGCTACAGAGTAAGAGTCCATCTCAAAAAAAAAAAAAAAAAAAAAAAAATTAGCAGGGCACCTGTAGTCCCAGCTACTCAGGAACCTGAGGCAGCAGGATCACTTGAACCTGGGAAGGCAAAGCTGCAGTGAGCCATGTTTGTGCCATTGAGCAAGTCCCTGTCTCAAAAAAAGAAAAAAGAAAAAAAAAAGAGAGAGAAAGAAATAAAGGAAAATATATGAGAAGTTAGCTCTGGGCCGGGCGCAGTGGCTCACACCTGCAATCCCAGCACTTTGGGAAACCAAGGCAGGCAGATCGTCTGAGTTCAGGAGTTTGAGACCAGCCTGGCTAACATAATGAAACCCCGTCTCTACTAAAAATACAAAAATTAACTGGGCATGGAGGCACACACCTTTGTAGTCCTAGCCACTGGGGAAGCTGAGGCAGGAGAATCACTTGAATCCAGGAGACAGAGATTACAGTGAGCGAAGATTGCATCACTGCACTCCAGCCTGGGCAACAGAGCAAGACTCCATCTCAAAAACAAAAAAAAGTGGCCAGGTGTGGTGGCTCACTCCTGTAATCACCTGAGGTCAGGAGTTTGAGACCAATCTGGCCAACATGGTGAAACCCCATCTCTACTAAAATATACAAAAATTAGCTGGGCTCAGTGATGCAAACCTGTAGCCCCAGCTACTCAGGAGGCTAAGTCACGAGAATTGCTTGAACCTGGGAGGCAGAAGTTGCAGTGAGCCAAGATTGTGTCACTGCCCTCTAGCCTGGGTGGCAGAGCAAGACTCAGTCTCAAAACAAACAAACAAACAAACAAACAAACAAAAAACCTCTAATGGCGTATGGTGTTTTTTTTTCTATTAATTCATTTTATTTATTTATTTTTTTGAGACGGAGTCTCAGTCTGTCACCCAGGCTGGAGTACAATGGTGCAATCTCGGCTCACTGCAAGCTCTGCCTCCCAGGTTTATGCCATTCTCCTGCCTCAGCCTCCCGAGTAGCTGGGATTACAGGCGCCCGCCACCACGCCTGGCTGATTTTTTTGTATGTTTAGTAGAGACGGGGTTTTACCATGTTAGCCAGGATGGTCTCGACCTCCTGACCTCGTGATCTGCCTGCCTCAGCCTCCCAAAGTGCTGGGATTACAGGCGTGAGCCACCGCGCCCGGCCAGGGTTTGTTTATTTTTTTGAGACAGTCTCGCTCTGTTGCCCAGGCTGAAATGCAGTGGCGTGCATGTTGCTCACTGCAGCCTCGACTTCCCAGGTTCAAGTGATTCTCTCAGCTGGGACTACAGGTGCGTGCCACCATGCCACGCTAATTTTTGTGGTTTTTGTAGATATGGGGTCTTGCCATGTGCCCAGGCTGGTCTTGAACTCCTGGGCTCAAGCAATCCTCCCATCTTGGCCATCCAAAGTGCTGGGATTACAGGCACGAGCCACCGCGCCCTGCCTCGTGTGATTTTATTTAGGTTCAGTCTTGCAGAGGCAGTTGTCCTCTGCGGAGGTGCTGCATGCTTCCTATTTCATCCCATCAGGAAGCACGTCATGTCTAGCTGCCCACGCTCAGTGATGCGAACTGCTCAGGGGCTTCAGGGAGTGACAGCCTGACCCCTCCATTGTCACATTCCCCTCTGCCCACCCCCTATCAGTCCTTCGCCTTCTGCTTTTATTCTTTGATTTCTACCTAAACCCATTTCATAATCTTCCACAATAAAGCATTTTAAAGGAAAAGCTCCAAGCAGCAATTTCCTAACCCACAGGAAAGAATGAGTCTAAAAATGGTAGAGACTCAGGTATGAGGTTAATCGGAGCAGGGAGGAGGGCCAGGATAAGGGACGCCTCATGAGAAGGAGGAAGGAGAGACTGAAGTGGTGGCCAGAAGGAGCAGTGGAAAAATCCAGCGACCTCCTGGCCAGGAGCCTGAGTTTGAGGCTGGTGTGAAGTTTCCCTACTCTGGGCCCCACCTGGGTGGTGAGTGGTTTAGAGCTCAGGCTTTTTAGACAGACAGACCTGAACTTGAATCCAGCTCAGCTTCTTAATCAGCATTGGGTGACTTAAAGCAAGAAATTTAACTGGGCTTCTTCATCTGTAAAATGAAGTTAGTAATCCTTACCTTGCAGGGTTGTTGGGAGAATGGACTGAGTGGGCGGGGGCGTGGCAAGGGCCTGGTAGAGTAAACACTCTGGGTGGTGGGTAGGAAGCCTGTTTGAGGGAGGGGAACTCTGTACTCCACAGCTCCTGCCCTAACAGATTCTTGCCCGATGCCAGGGCCAAGCTAGAAGTGCTGGGAGTAGAGTATAATGTGGTCATTCCGCAGACAGCAAGGGCGATGCTCAGGGACATCCACCTTCCTCTTTGGCTGCTCTAATGGTGGATGCATCTGGTTTCCCAGCCCCTGCCATTGCAGCCTAGTGGCTTAGCTTTCTGGACTTGAACCCTTGGTCACTCCCTCAGTCTAGGCGCCAGGCTTCCCCAGGCACCCTGCAATTGCCAGCCCAGTTAACAGGCAGCCGGCTTGCTGAGCGGCTGGGGGATCCAGGCATGACAGGGCCTTGGGCAGGCCGCCTCCTGGGGACAAATGGCCTGCTGAGCCCGTGACGAGTGAGGCCATCTGATTCCCAGATGGTTTCTCCTACGCTGGGAACATGGCAGATGCACAATAAATGTTGAGAGAATGGAGCTTTCCCTCCCCTGAGTGGGAGAGAAATCGTTTGTCAGGTGACTCTGCCTGTGGGGGCGTCTTGGGC